TTTTCCATGCAGTGATAATAAGCAATTTATAAAAACCATCTTAAGCTAAAAGCTGGACCGTTCATCAGTACAGTAAGCGGTCTAAATTTGAGTGCAGGCACTGCTACACATCATCCCTATTTATGCAACGAAGAAAGCAAAATGGTCAATAACGTTGTCTCTTCAGTTGGAGAAGATTGTTGTCTACCGTATCAAGGTTTGAAGATAGTCAGAGACTCGTGTCCTCTTGAATCAAGGCATTTTATCAATTTAACGTGCACGTTTATATCAGAGACGAGAAGATAAGGAACACAAACGACTTTCAACTTTTCCTGATTTCTCTGGCCGTTTCAAAGGTACATTTCCTGAAGACAATTTGCTCATTATGTTTTTTCCGCACTGTATATTAGGTCCCATTTGCTGCAGTCATTCTGTTTTAGCTGTACAGCATTAACGTAGGTAAATAATGAAGCGAAAACCATTGCCTCTTTAGTGACTTATGTCATAGATAACTTCTGGTTATGACATCGCGTTTTGTCAAACAGCGTTGAGCTATGCACTAGAGTGTGAACTGCATGACGAGGCGTGACAATTTTTTAACTGAAATTGGACTAGTATTCTTCTGCAGGAATTTCTGGGTTGCCAGTATTTTCGAGCAGTGAAACATCGCTGGACCAAAAAGTAGGACACAAACTGTTACATCAGTGGCCACATATGATATGGCGGAGGGGCGAGGAGGAAATTATAGCGGTGCCTCTCTCATCGTGTGAGTGTACGTCTTAAGCGTTCTTCTTAAAGTAAATTTTCTGCTTTCCTTTTATCCTGGCGATAAATTAATTCGTCAGCCAAGTGGGTCCAAGCGGATTACAGGCATTTTTCTTCCAAGAAAAATATCGAACCGCATGGTAGTAAGTCTGGCGAACTCTGGCAAGACCACGGCACACGAGCATGCTGTTCTTACTGTTAGCAAGTCGTCGACTTGCCAAACGTTTTTCGGTCGATTTCACCGTTGAACGATGGAGCGAATTCCTTTCTAAAGACTGCCAATATTTGTGAAGTAAAAAGTTTCGCGCCCCTTCTTATGAGCCTTGAGATACCACTGCGTTCTGTCATGTGTTTCCGTTTTGGTACGACAAAAACTTGGCCTTCCCCGGTGGGTAGTTTGACAGCACATCGATGACATCGTTATAAAAATAATCATTCGGTCGTCCGTGCAAGGGCGCAGTGAATGAGTTGTTTCAGTTTCTTTGTCCACTTCTTATCCGCATGACCAATGACTCCTAACGACCGGTTTCTGTTCACTACTGTCGGGGAGCCACGATTCGAAGACACCGCTTACGTTTGATCTGACCTGATCGCTGACTGTTGACCAGGTCATCGTCTGCCATAGTTTCCGCGCATTTGGCACAGAAGTACATGGCAAATTGCGACTCGTGCCTCTCGGACGGTTGTGGCAGTGGACGTGTTATGTTATGTTCCCATGCTACGTGTTTCTAAGCAGCATACGACCTCGGCTTTGAGTTCGATCGAAGAGGAAACGAGTGACAGTCCACAGACGAACGAAGTGTAGCCAATCTTCTGGTCTTTTCATTGCATGATCGTTATTGAAATCATAATAATACTTGGCATAAATTATTCAAAACGAACTGATCGAAATCGATGGACCACTAGGGAGGCCAGTCACCAGAGTTTGGCCAAACATTTCTACCGCATCACATGTCAGTACGTCTGCTCTCCCTGGAAGACGTCACGACCTTGACTGTGTTCCGAATGGTCGCTTCGTTTCGACTGTGCCATGGCTTCGGCGTGGCAGAGTTCTTTTCGCGCCCCTGCATCTGCGGAACGACCTTGTGGCAGTTTTGTGTCCGTGTCATTTGTTGTAGCCCCGTGCCTCGGTTCGAGGAACCGACCACCATTTGTAAGCATCCCTGAACGAGCACCAGTCGCCACCAGTACACTCTGTCACGTTTCTGCGTCGTCGTCTCTCACCTTGACCGACCTTCAGCCGACTTCGCTGACTTCGCCACACAACTCGGTGTTGCTCATTAGTAGTGACAGGTTTTCCTTAATTAGCACTCGGTCGTCGCTTCCATTTCTCTCTCGCTGCTGTACGCCCGTGCATTGCGGGTGACCAACCAACGACACGAGCGTTGCTCCGGTCAGACTCCTCCTCGCCGATGAATCAGTGTTGTGGCCTATTTCCAATCTCGGGCACCGTCCTTCCCTCCTTTGCGTGTGTTTACGGTTTGTTGACGCCTTGTTTAGCACGTGCTTTGTTTCTGTACCTCGAACCCTAGATCTAGGTACCCTTAAATTTCCTTGCTCTATTGCAGACTGTCGACTAACGTTTTCTCTGTGTTTAGGGCTTTTTCAGGCGATCAATACAGCAGAAGATACAATACCGTCCATGCACGAAAAATCAGCAATGCTCGATCATACGCATCAACAGGAACCGCTGTCAGTACTGTCGTCTTAAGAAGTGCATCGCTGTCGGGATGTCACGTGACGGTAGGATAACCTCTGTTACACGCCTGGTTACCTCCGGGTTAGTACCCGCTAGCATGGTTACATACTGTAACCCATTTTGACCATAAACATGCAAATATGCAAAAAATGGAAGCACATTCAGGAGATAAATAGAAAATGAATGGCAGCTTAAAAAGA